AGCCAACCCCGAACGCGCACTTTTCTGGTTGAGCTTCATATTGTACTTCCTCAGTATATCGAAAGTTTCCTGCAAATGCTTCAAATGGTCCTCTACTCGCAGGGACTTAACTAGCATGTCCTCAATATAAACTTCCATAGATTTCCCTATTTGTTGTTCGAACATTCGATTTGCTAGGCGTTGATAGGTTGCCCTAACATTTTTTAGTCTGAATGACATTACATAATAACAGTAGGTGCCATACTTAGTGATAAATGAGGTCTTTTCCTAGTCCTCCGGGTTTATCTGTATTTGGTTGTACCTGGAGTAGGCATCGAGAAAATTGAGAGTCTCATGGCCGGCTATGGCATCAATCATACAATCGATGTTAGGCAAAGGAAAAGAATCCTTGGGCATTCTTTATTAAGGTTTTTATAATCTACACATATTCTAAGTTTGTTTCCCTTCTTAGGGACTACTACTACATTCGCTAACCATTTGAGATATTTTACTTCCCGAATGGATCCTATTTAAGAAGTTTGGTTACCTCATCTTTGATGAAAGCATGTTTTACCTCGGATTGAGGCCTCATTTTTTTGTTTCACCAGGAGGAACTTCAGGTCCAAGCTTAGTTTATAAGTAGTGATATCCGGTGGGATCCCTGTCATATCGAGATGGGACCAGATAAAACAATCCATATTAGCTTTAAGAAATTGAATAAGTTTTTTCCTGAGCTCAGGGGTTAACCCCGTGTTCAGGTATACTTTCGATCGGGCAGATGCTCGATCAATACGATTTGTTCTAGCTCTTCAACCGTTAATTTTGTGGAGTCAAAATCATCGGGGATTATGAAGGATCGATGTATCATATAGTCATCATCCTCATAAGTTCCATGCTCCTCCGATTGGGTCGAGGCTGATGATTGTGGTTGCTATTTGGCCTCCTGTTTTCCCTTTGAATCTGATCCCTTTACTGATGAAAGTGCCAATATCGGTATCACTTCATCGATTGCGAACATCTCTTTGGCTGCTAGTTGTTCCCCGTACACTATTTTGATTCCCTCCGATGTCGGGAACTTCAGAACTTGGTGAAGGGTCGAGGGTACTACCCTCATATTATGGATCTAAGGCCTTCTGAGAAGTGCGTTGTACATCATGTCACCCTCGATCATATGGAACTTTGTTTCTTGGATGGTCCCGGCCACGTTTACTGGCAAAATAATTTCACCTTTGGTGGTTTCGCTTGCCATGTTGAAGCTACTAAGTACTCGAGTTGCGGGCACAATTTGGTGTTGTAGGCCGAGCTATTCTATGACTTTGACCGAATAAAATTGGTCGAGCTACCTAGATCAATCAAAACACGTTTAACTTGAATTATACTCATAAGGACAGATATTACCAGTGCATCATTGTGGGGTTGTTCGATCCCTTCTGCATCCTCGTCATTGAAAGACAAGGTCTCTTCTGGTAATTAGTCCTGAGTTTCTTCTCCCTTGTGATTGTCACTTTGGTGCATTTAAATACCGATTCTTGAGGAAAATCGACCCTTCCAACGATCATATGAATCACGTTTGTGGCTCTTCTTGCTCCTTCTGTGTGTTTGAATCTCTATTTTTGAAGTGATTCTTGGCCCGATTGCTTAAGAATTCTCGAAGGTGCCCCTCATTGAACAATTGGGCTACTTCCTCCCTTAGTTGTCTACAATCTTCTGTTTTATGACCATGGGTGCCATGATACTTGCATATTTTGTTGGGGTTTCTCTAGGCCGGATTGGTCTACAGAGGTAGAGGCCATCTAGCATCCTTGATACGTTCGATGGCTGATACGATGGTTGATGCATCTACACTGAAGTTATATTCCGACAATAGTGGAGCTTCTTTGGGCCCGGCATCCCTGTCAAAACCACCCTTGCTCATGAGTCCCTGTGGACTTTGACTTTGATCATTTTTCCTCTCATTCCGTGCAAAATTTCGTCCAAACCTGCTGCCTCTACGATCTCTGTTATACGATTGATATTGATCTCTATTTGACCTTGGCTATCGATCGATATCCCTCTTGATTCTATCCACGGGCCTGTTAGGATAAACTGACCCAGAAGGAGTCCCCAGATGATCATCCTCGACCCTGATCTTCGATTGATATCGATTATATACATCGACCTAAGTGACAGCTGGATACTCGAACAAATTTTGCTTCAACTGCTATGAAGCTATGGAACTCCGAACGTTGAGACCTTGAGTGAATGCTGGAATAGCCCAATCGTCGGTGACCGGTGGAAAATCCATTCTCTCCATTTGGAACCGAGATACGAATTCTCTGAGCATCTCGTTATCTTTCTACCTTACCTTGAAAAGGTCCTTTCTTGTTGCAACCTTAATGGCTCTAGCTTGCACCTTTACAAAACAATCTGCAAGCATAACAAACAAATCAATAGAATTAAGAGGTAAATTATGATAAGTCATTTTCTTTGATGGCGCAGGTATAGTAGGTGACGTGTTCATTTGGATCATTCTTCCTGTTATACCTAAGAAACTCGGACATGCGAAACTTCTTGGGGATTGGCTTCGGAGCCGCAATTGGGGGGAAGGATTTTTGCACAAACTTTTTAGAATCTAGTCCTTTCAATATCGGAGGTGCCCCGGGATTTGGTCGACCCTGGAGTTATAGGTTTCCACCTTCTTATCATTTTCCTCGATCTTATTTTCTCCTGTCTCGATCCGCTTCGTCAAATCTTCGAGCATTTTTAGGATAGCGGGATTTGTGTCTGATTCCTTCTTATTCGATTTTTTCGAAGTTGATTCGACCTTGTGCACAATTTCTTGGGATGACTCAATTTCGACCCTGCTCGGCGTGTGGTTTTGATTTTGGAGCTGAGCTATTGCTGCCTGCTAGGCCTGCAACATTTCGAAGATTACCCGTAGGCTAATTCCGCCATCTACACCGCTATACGCACTCTGAGTAGCTGATTGGGTACACCCGCGAACACTGATTTTGGGATCGATGGTCACATTTCCATTGATGGCTACATGTGAACTGATGTCGATTGGGTCAGCAGCCGGACGGTGGGCGCTAAATTGTTTACCTTTAAAATTGGACAACAATTAAACTTATAAGTAGTTTTAAGGATATGCGATTTCACTTGGCACAAATTGAGAAATATAAGAATTAATGTTAGAAATTAACTGTAAAATAAAGCAAACCAATATAATGAACAGTTATGGCCTTCGATCTAGATCGCCCTCGAACCAACAGAGTATGCTAACAAAGAGTATGACCTGAACAACGGAGCTTAAGAGAGAAAATGTAATGTATTGCTTTGTTATGCGTGAATATCACCATTACAAAATGATTAGAACCTCCTTTATATAGTAGAGAAATTCTACTTATGGTACAATTCTAAATACAAAAGGAAATCCCATGATTGGCTAGATGTCCGGTCTTGACTTGATACGTGCTAAGATTCCCACCACGATCTTTGCCCGATCACGGATATCTCGGCCTTTTGTTATTCGGTTTAGCAGGCTTCCCTCGATCTTGCTCGGTCTCTATCTCACTTCGGTCTCGATCACGGCTGGTCTCGATCTCGATCGATCATCGACTCATGAGCTTAACAATCCATCTCCGTACCATGGTTCGATGCAATGTGAGGTCGAGCCTTGGTCTGCCATCCCGGTTCCGGTTAGCCATACAAAAATTAGGGAAACTCGATTCTGACCGTATATATACTACTATGTAGAAATGACACTAGGTACCATTTTAAAGCGCTGATATTTAGGAATTAGTCTAAAGTATTTTGAATTTTAATTTTGCAATTAAATTTTTTGGGACACAAATGTCGTGAACCTGAATTTAAATTTTTAGTTCAAAGTTTCAGGATAAAAAACGTACTAGCTAATCGCTAAACAATAGCCCTAAAAATAATTGTTTGTGCATTTCCCCTCCCGCTATAGACTGATTCTCCAGCATGTCCATCATGGCTATTTATGTAAAGATCCCAAACTAATAGTTATTCAGCCCAACATTCAACAAATCAGAGAGCTTATGTTGAGTAGAAATGGTGCGTGATAACCATTTTTTAATATGGCATTTAGTTTTTGTCCAGTATTTTTAATGCTAAGCAAAAATAGCTATTACTCTATTAAAATTAATACGAAAAGATCTTTTTACCTTTTTTTCACGAGTGTTGTATAAATATTAAGGACATGGTGTCTTTAACATTTACACTGTACAGATAAAGTTGAGGACGCCATCTCCTTAATATTTACACTGCACATATGAAGTTAAGGACATGATGTCCTAAAATTTAACAACGGAAGGTGCAAATACATGACACTTTGTCCTTAATATTTATATAACATTCATGAAGTTAAGGACAGTATGTCCTTAATATTTACACAGCACTCATACAGTTAAGGACACTATGTCATTAACATTTACACTGCATACATGAAGTTGTATACCATGTCCTTAATATTTACACTGTACATATGAAGTTAAGGACATGAGGTCCTAAAGTTTAACAACAGAAGGTGTAAATACAAGTTAAGGACATTATGTCCTTAACATTTACACTGCACACATAAAGCTAATGACATTATGTCCTTAACATTTATACTGCACATATGAAGTTAAGGACATGATTTCCTAAAGTTTAACAATGGAAGGTGCAAATATATGACACTTTGTCCTTAATATTTACACAATATTCATAAAGTTAAGGACACCATGTCCTTAATATTTAAACAACACCCATGTCTAGTCATAGGCGGAGCTAAGATTTGAACCTTATGAGTTCGAGCTTATAATCCTTTTAAGTTATTAGGTTCTAAATTAATAATTTGTACGTATTTATCAAATTTTCTAATATAAATAGAGGGTTTGAATAAAAATTACTGGGTTCGGTCGAACCCGTAAATAGTGTGTTTAGTACAGGGGTATTTTTGTTCGGGCCGTTAAAAACTTATCAAGCACTGCTAAAGAGTAAATATATTCTAAACAGCGGCTAAAGAGTATTCTAATTAGTGGCTCTCTCTCCACTCCCCTCTCACGTTGACTCTTTTTCTTTTTTTTCTTTTTTGTTTTGTTTCGTCTCTCAGAAATAACCTCGATTCGTTGATGTGAATTTATAACTGATAACTTGTCGAATTCGTACCAGTTAAGTTAGCTAAAACCCAATTTCCAATTCTTGGTGTTCCTCAGTTCATCACATGGCTGCCAATTTCTGGACTTCATCTCAATAGTATGTCAAAAATTTGCCATATTTCCTCTTCAATCATTCTTATTTCTTTGTTTTTTTAATTAATAAATAGTTTTTCGTTGTTTGCAGCAAAGAACTTCTGGATCCTGAAGAAGTAGACGTTGTGCATCAGCTAGATAAAGATAGAGGAATCACTCTCGATGATTTCAAGCTCATCAAGTTGCATATGTCCAATTGTAATTCCCACAATTTTTTTGTGTGCGCGCGCGCGTTTTTTTTTTTTTTTTTTTTGTG